GCAGTTCGAGCTGTGCCCCGGCAGGCTCGTCGGCCGAGACCAGCCGTGCTTTATTATCGCCGAGATCGGGCAGAATCATCAGGGGGACCTCGAGATCGCCAAGCAGATGATCCGCGTGGCCAAGGTGGACGGTGTCCCCGCCATGCCGCTGCAGTTCGAGCTGTGCCCCGGCAGGCTCGTCGGCCGAGACCAGCCGTGCTTTATTATCGCCGAGATCGGGCAGAATCATCAGGGGGACCTCGAGATCGCCAAGCAGATGATCCGCGTGGCCAAGGTGGGGGACGGGGGGGGGGACGGGGGAGGATGATGGGCGTATCTTGAAGGGCGCGGGCAGCGAGGTGTTTCCACAAATGGTCCGGGCGCTAGGGGAGGTGATCGCCTTCTGACGTTAGGTCGTCGTTTTCTTTCCGGTGGTGCAGTTCTGTAGATGGAGATTGCACGGTGGGAGGTGGGGGGAGGGAGTAAAAAAAATGGAGACGAAAATGTGGGAAACTGAGGCTGCCCTGCTTTGGGCAGGTAATGAGAAGGCAGGATTCCCTGGAAAAGATTGGGAAAGGTGGCAGGCAGCAGGAAAAGAGGAAGACCAAACACGAGATGCATTGACTCCCCGGAGGAAGCCACAGGCTTGAGCCTGCAAGAGCTGAGCAGGGCAGCTAAGGACACGGAATTTTGTAGAATTCTCTTTCATCGGGTCGCAGTGAGTCTGAGGTCTCCTGAGGGCACAGAACAACAAGCAGGTGGGGTAATGTGATACAGTGCAGCAGGCTATAGTTATTATTAATAAAGTATTAATATGTAGGGGGAGGATTTCTATGATATGTCATTTTTTTCTGCAACCAATGTTCAAGCTCATGGGTAGTTTTGAACATGTTTATGAGTGATCTGCTGAGAAAGGCCAGATTACCAATAAATTTGCTAATGGGTTTAAATGTCAGCTGCGGAGAAAATGTGAAATGCATAGAAATCCTCCCCCTATAATATTTAATATTTAATGCTAGAGAACCAATGTGATATAGTGCAGCAGTCCCCAACCGTTTAAACCCTGCGGACCGGTTGGGGAAGGCGAGGCACCTCCCTGCGCTCATGCGCATGCACGAAGGAGCAGGTGTTCTCTCTCACGGGGCGCACGCACTCGTGCACATGCACAAAGTGGAGGACGCTCATGCGGGCACGCTCATAGGCGAAGTGGGAGGGTGCTCATGTAGGTGAGCGTGCACTTGTGCGCATACACAAAGGTGCTCGGGGGCACTCGTGCTCATGCACTAAGGGGTGGGGAAGCGTTCGCGTGGGCACAGGCACAAAGGGACTGTGACGGGGGAGTGTGGGCAGGGGTGGGGGTCTCCGCAGCCCAGTCCAGCTCAGGCCACGGACCAGGAGTTGCGGACCTCTGGTATAGTGGACCAGTTGGCAGGTAAGAATTCTGGCTTCAAATCGCCACTTAGCCGTGGAAACCCATTCTTTAAATATCTCACCATGAAAACCCTGTGAGAGTTGCCATAAGGTGGGTGTAACTTGATGGCACAGAACAGCAACTGCCCTTTTAGTGGTGATAATAATGATAATCAAGCCTAAAATGTCAGTATATCACATCCATGTACATCAGTTGTGTCATGCTGAATTCCAAGTTTGCCTGAATTTGGAAGCTGAGCAATATTGGCCCTGATTAGTGGTTGGATAAAGGCCCACCAGGAAGAAAGGGACTGCCAAAAAGTTTTGCTTGAACACTCAGAGTTGACAATCCATGGCCTGACTCAGTATAAGGTAGCTTCCTACAGTTGACTCCAGTTGAATTAAGCGGTAGAAATTGGGTTTTAGCACTGGAAGTATACTTCCATGCTTTTTATATGGATCACATTTTCATCTTGTCCTATTCTAGGAAGCTCAGGAGAGACGGTACGGTGCCCCTGGATTGTGATCAACAGCTCCATGAGGCTGGTTTAGTGGGATAAATCCTGTGCAACAATGGTGTGGAAATGTTGACAAATATGTCACTGGTCAGCTTCCCCAGGGGTGTTCACTGCACCAGCTAGTCTTAAAAAGAAACTGACAGGAATGAGACCAGAACTCAAAATCTACTTGTTCTGAATCATTTGTTATTGTTATGTGCTGTCAAGTTCCTCCCAAGTTCTGGTATTAAAATTACCAGGATCATGGCCAATTCTTTTCTATAAAGTGGGGACTAATTCTAGACTTATATTTTGGGGGCATTATTTATTTATTTGTCGGATTTCTATACCGCCCAGTTAGTGAAAACTACTACTCTGGCTGGTGTACATAATAAAGCCCCGCCACTCCAATTACACTCCAATTACAGTTTATTTATAACAGTAAAAATCATCATCATCATAACAATAGAATGACCATATGGTGATGGCCAGTAGAAAAGAAAAGAATTGAAATGCAGAATGTTACAGATTGCTAAATCCCTACCTGTGGGATTATGCTCTTAAAAGCCATTTTAAAGAGTGTTGCCTTTACTGATATTCTAAAAACTCAAAGGGAGGAGGCCTGGTGCACCTCCAGCGGAAGTTTATTCCATAGGGATGGGGCCACCATCAAGAAGACCTGATTCCTTATTGACAGCCTTCTCACCACTCTTTTTGTGGGCACCCTCAGTAGTGAGGCCTGTCCGGAGTGAGTGAAATGAGTAGTTGTTTTTTTGAGGAAACGTTCGGACAAGTATTGAAGTCCCAAACTGTTCAGGGCCATGTAGGTCAAAACCAGCACCTTTAATTGGGCATGGAAACTAACAGGTGGTCCCACTAAGTCCCAATAAACTACAGTGGTGCCTCGCTAGACAGGTACCCCACATGACCGTTTTTTCGCTAGACATTGGGTTTTTGCGATCGCTGTAGCGATTCGCAAACCCTACCTGTGGGATTATGCTCTTAAAAGTCATTTTAAAGAGTTTTGCCTTTACTGATTTTCTATAAACTCAAAGGGAGGAGACCTGGTGCACCTCCAATGAAAGTTTATTCCATAGGGATGGGGCCACCACCAAGAAGACTTGATTCCTCATTGACAGCCTTCTCATCTCTCTTTGTACGGCCACCCTCAGTAGTGAGGCCTGTGAAGAGGGAGTGAAATGAGTAGTTGTTTTTTGGAGGAAATGTTCGGACAAGTACTGAGGTCCTAAACTGTTCAGGGCCATGTAGGTCAAAACCAGAACCTTTAATTGGGCATGGAAATTAACAGGTGGTCCCACTAAACTATTTGGGATTAATCTAGTGTGTGGCTGTAGGAGACCTTTTCTATGCACAGTTTGACACAAGTCAAACTATAATAAAATACAGCTTGCTGTTTTTATGTGCTGTCCAGTTAGTGACCTCCCAGAAGTCCTGTCATTAAGGCAGGATCTTGCAAACTCCAGGGTTCAGTTCAGTTCAGTGTAATCCTTGCTAGGTTTGGGCTGCAAGTGCCACAGAACCACAGTGGATTCGGAGTAGTGTTTAGTTCTGTTTGAGTTGGAGGAAGGGAAGAAGGAGGGGACCTTCGTGGTTTCTCTGTCATCTGGCAGCCCTCTGCCTCCTGAAAAGCTGCCCTAGAGTAGAATAAGTGAAGATCGCTCCTGTATACACTGCTTCTGGTGGGAGGCCTTTGTTGAGTCCCAGGGTCCTCTGTGAATAGAAGGAAAACCCTTCCATTCTGGAATGACCACTTTGGATCTACTCCGCTATGTTTAGAATTTGGAACAGCCCCTTCAGGTAGGGATGGTGTCCTTGTGGTGTTGGACTGCAGTTCCCTTCCTCCTACTGGCTGTGTTGGCTAGGTGTGATGAAAGTACTGATGCAACAAAATTTTGAGTGGCCCCTGTTGCCCACTTTTGAACTGATGCATCATTTGGGTTGTTGGCCTACAAGAGCTATGAGTGTGCTCACCTGTCCTTTCTTTCTTATACTGTGCTCCCTGCAATACTGATTATACATTCGACAATGCAGACATCAGTTCACAGAACGTATTCTACAATAAAAGGTTGGGTTGTGTTTTTTTTGGGAGTATCACTGGATTCTGTTATTTCTTCCCTGGTGTGGTAAACTTAAGCAGTGCATGCATGGACAAGAATCACTGTACATGGCCAGCGTGACTAGGGAACACCATTTTACCTTCCCACCGAGATGGTACCTATTTATCTACTCGCATTTACATGCTTTCGAACTGCTAGGTTGGTGAGGAGCTGGGACAAAGCGGCGGGAGCTCACTCCGTTTGGTTGATTCGATCTTATGACTGCTGGTCTTCTAACCAGCAGCACAGGCTTCTGGGGTTTAGCCCACAGCGCCACCACGTCCCACCACGTCACAGAACTTATTCTACAATAAATGGTTGGGTTGTGGGTTTTTTGGGAGTATCACTGGACTCTGTTATTTCTTCCCTAGTGTGGTAAACTTAAGCAGTACATACATGGACAAGAATCACTGTAATATATTGGATAGATTATGGATTAGTACTCAGCAGAGCTGGATTCGAGTCCCTGCTTTGCCATGGAAATTCATGGGGAAGGGGCTCGGTAAAACCTCTCAGGAAATACCTCACACATCTTGAAAACACCTAGAAAGGTCGCTCTGAGGCAAGTGTAACTGATGACACATGAGGAGAAAACAGCATGCAGGGAGAATGGGCCGTGTTACATAGACTTGTACAATTAATGTCTACGTTTGTCCTTCTAGGAGTGTGGTGCAGATTGTGCCAAGTTCCAGAAAAGTGAACTAGAACACAAATTCAATAAGAAAGCTTTGGAGAGGCCCTACACGTCCAAGCACTCTTGGGGGAAAACCTATGGAGAGCACAAGCGCCACCTGGAGTTCAGTCATGACCAGTACCGAGAGCTGCAGCGATACGCAAAGGAGATTGGCATTTACTTTACCGCCTCAGGCATGGATGAGGTTTGTTGAATGACCACTGTGGATCATCAGTGTTTGTTGCTTCTGCATGGCTATTTCTTGACACCCTCCCGCCCACCAACCTCAGGGTCTCTGCCCGCTGAGGTCACACACCTCATGAATCTGATGGAGTTTACTGCACTCCACAGGTGTTTATGGCAGATAAAATTGATATGTCTTTTAAGGTCCCAGCGATGAGATTCTCTTACTATGTCTGTATGGAGACTGAATAAAGGTAAATTAATTTTGATTGCTCCGAGGAGCTCGTAAACCAGATTAGCTGAAAAGTCCTGCATAGATAAAAAGGGCAGAACCCAATATTTTTTTCTGGTTTGATAATTGTTCAAGAGTTTGGTTGAAGACTTTGAAGGGTAGTGGGTTCATTGTAAGAATAATGGAGCAGGGGCAGATGAAAAGCTGAGGGGAATGTAGATTAGTGTCACGAACATAATTTGCTAGTGTTTTTGAGTAAATTTGACTTCGTTTGTGGTAGGTGTAGGACATTTGGTGAGGTAAACAAATCCTGGAAAGGTTTTGGACAGCAGCAGTTCATTTCAGTTGTTAGAAACTATCACTGAGTAATTTGGAGGTAGGAGGAAAATTTAGTTAACATTTCCTTTTGGAAATCGTTATCCCTTCAAGCAGTCCTTGTAGTTAACATTTTTAAACTCATGGTTTCTAACATGAGGATCTGCATACATTGTTGGACTGGAACCTTCAGAGTCCCTCAACAAAGGCTATGCTGACTGGGGTACCTGGCAACTGAAGTCCAGCAACATTGAGGGAAAACGTTTTGGAACCACTGGCTTAGACTGTTTCTGATGATACTGTTTTGATTCTTCCAAGCCAAGATGGCCACGTTTTCCAGAAACCGTAAAAAAATTGGTGGGTGTAAGAATGAATCAGAGTAAACTTGAGGTCTGGTGGCAGGAACTTCTGTAAATTGAAGGTCAGAAGAGAGCTTATAAACTTTTATAAAAATGGGCTTGGTTTCTCTTTAGCTACCAAAACAGGACTCTTACAGCTGTGATTTGTATACTTCAAGGTTGGGCCATATGCAGGCAGCTTTCATGCTCCTGGGTCCTTAGTACACACCTCTGCCCCCAAAAAACACATTTTTTTTTCATCCAAGAAAAGGCAGATTGTGCCCCTCAGGCGTCTCTGGGCATGTGCAATTTGCCTTTTAATTTTCAGAAACAGGAGGTGAGTGGCTAGCCATGCTCTGAGGACAAAAATGGTTCCTAGACTTCAGACATGGCCCATCCCTGGGCTGCATTATTGGTGAAACCCTTGGAACGGAGGGTGTTGGTTCTGAACCAATTTGCTATTACCAGTTTGGCATTTGCTAATACTGGTAAACAGGCTCATGGAGGCTTGTCTCCATCTTGGTTGCTGTAGGTCACACTGTTCAGTGTGCTTCTGAAAGTACTGTGAACTTCACTTCCACTGGTATTTCTTGGGTGTGATCATAGTTGCTCATTGTTCTGCTGCTTGTATGGAGCAACGGAGACCCTTTTATCCAGTTCAGGGTGGGAAGTTGTGGTTGGGTGGAATGTTCATTTGGGAGAATTTTTTTTTGAAAAAAAGTCTCTCTTTTTATAGATGGCGGTAGAATTTCTGCATGAACTGGATGTTCCATTTTTTAAAGTAGGATCAGGAGACACTAACAATTTCCCATACTTGGAAAAAACAGCCAAAAAAGGTAACTTTCAGGAATAGTGGTAATAATTGTTGCGAGGCTTGCCTGCTTCTGCTTTTATAAGCACAGATACACCATTTAGTGACAGTGGGCGGATTTCACAAATGATTATGAAAGCAAGCCCCCCCCCACACACACACACACATCACAGGTTAGATCCAAAGTAGACGTGATGACATCAAGGCAGAGCTGCCACTGAAAATGGGGTTAGCTTCCTCCTCCTTCCACAAGTTGAGTGCCTGCAACCTTGCTCCAGAATCTAACAGAAATATAGGGAGCTTATTGAAGGAGTTATGTGTGAGCCCATCTTGGTTGCTTATGTTGGATGCTCTCTACAGATTACTTTTAAGTAGCATCTGTGTCTTGCACTTGGGCATGTTTTGACACATTCATTTGGAAGAGGAAGGCACAGGCACTGATGATGATATCTTGGAGGTATTAAACTGGGTGACCTCTGGTGTCATGCAAGATTGAGGAACAGGACCTTGTCTCCTCTCTGTTAGCGTGGCATCTTAGCACTACTTTGCATGGGGTCCTGCCCCCCCAAAAAACCTTCAAAGCGCATTTGAGGGTATATGGGTGAGAATCTTGACCCACCCCCTTTTTAATGAGTATTCTAAATTATTTAAAATATAAGTTGCAACCACACCAGATTTCCACAGAATTTAAGGCTAGGGGGCAGCTAATTAATGATGGGTTTAGTTGGGAAAAGTAAAATACTTTTATTCACAGTAAAAAAATCACAAAGCCAGTAAGAGAAATTTCTAAATGACATGGCTTTATTACAAGAGAACATTCTACAAATGCTAAGCTGGGACTTAATTTGGTAGGAAATCCCAACCCTTCCAGCGTGCGATCCCGAAACGTGCTGTGCACTTATCCTGTCTTTCTTTTCCTCTGTCAAAGGGGAATCTTAAAGGACTAAGAAGCAGAATATACAGATGTTTCCTAAATTATACATGGCCTAGAGCAGAGCTGGGACATGTTGAGCCCACCCAGATGTTGTTGGTTTGCAACTTCCATCAAACCTAGCCAACATGACCACTTATGAGAGATGGTGGGAATTTACAACATCTAGAGGATCCATCCCAGATGCAGACTTGTAAAACAGAATTTCCCCAACATAGTGGATTGGATCATACAAAGGTTGGGGACCACTGATCTAGAGGAACCATCCCAGATGCAGACTTGTAAAACATAGAATTTTCCCCAACATTGTGGATTGGATCATACAGAGGAAAAGCTGAAGAAATAATATGAGCTGGGTTGTCACGGTGCCGTAGGTGGAAAAAACTCTAGGAAGCAGCCCAGCAGTTAGTATAATGCAGTTGTATAAAACTGAAAATGTTAACAGAAATACTGTGAGTGCTGTTTCCTTATAGGTCGCCCAATGGTGATTTCTAGCGGGATGCAGTCAATGAGCACAATGCGGCAAGTTTACCAGCTGGTGAAGCCCCTCAACCCAAACTTCTGCTTTCTTCAGTGCACCAGTGCATACCCTCTTCAGCCTGAAGATGTCAACCTTCGTGTCATAACGGTCAGTCATCTGTGATGGTGGCTGGGTGAGGCCAAGGGGAGTCCGGTGGTTACCCTGAAGGGGTTCCTTGCTTCTAATCTTGTTACGGAAAATAACATATCATGGCTAGCTGGATCTCCTGTTCCACATGAGTCCTCAGTCCAGCCTGCTGAAGTCCATGGTTCCTGCCCCATTCACTCACCCCCACCCCTGGCTAGTTGGCTTTGGGGACCTTAACTCTGGAGGGGGTACGAATCTGCCTTGTCTACCCAACAGAACCCTTTCTTGCCATGTTGTAACTGTGATGCAGGAGTCGGTGTCCTCCGAAGAAAGGGTGGCCATCTTTGTAATTCCTTTGATCTCTTCTGCCCTTCTAGGAATATCAGTCCGCTTTCCCAGATATTCCAATTGGCTATTCTGGTCATGAGACCGGAATAGCCATTTCTATCGCAGCAGTTGCAATGGGAGCTAAAGTGCTGGAACGCCACATGACCCTGGACAAGACCTGGAAAGGAAGTGATCATCAGGCATCCCTGGAGCCCAAAGAGTTAGCAGAGCTGGTGAGAAGCATCCGGATGGTGGAGAAAGCCATGGGCTCCCCAGTCAAGCAGCTTTTGCCCTGTGAAGTGGCTTGCAATGAAAAGGTACCCTTGAGTACGGCAGGAACACTTAACTATGACGTACATTATGTTTGTCTTTTAATTACCAGTGGCAGGAGCATCTGCAGCATGCATCTTAGTAAGGTAGCTGGGTGACTGCCTTCTACCTTGTTTCTACCACTCTAAGTCATCTTCTTGTTCTCGGGGCTCCTCGTTTTAGTCAGTAATCATCCAAAATTTTTGGTAGCTTTTTCCAAGGAATGGTCTGGAGGGGAATAATACTGCTTGTTTGCTGAAGCTAAAGAGCTGTGAATCTAAGTGAGTGCCTGGGTGGGAGATCACGCGGGAATATCCTATGTGTAATATGCCATTGTGAGTTTTTTGGGAGAAGGGCAGGGTATGAATAAATACTGCAGCTAAAACTGTGCTTACAACCCGGGGTTCAATCCCAAGTAGCCGCCGGCTCGAGGTTCACTCAGCCTTCCATCCTTCCGAGGTCGGTAACATCCGCGCTTTGCGGAGGGGGGGGGGAGCAATGTGTAGCCTGCATAATTAACTTGTAAATTGCCCAGAGAATGCTTGAAGCGCTATGGGGCGATATATAAGCACGCTTTGCTTTTTGCTTTATAGCCCAAATACTAGAGGATACTCCACTGGTGCACATGGTAGGACCTCTGTGACACCTAGCCTTTTTTGCTTCTACATCTCCTGATCAGGGCAGGAAATGGCAGCATTGGAGAAGGGAGCTCAGAGTGCAACAGGCATGGGACTCCTCTGACGTTGTTGCACTGCATTTGCCATCAGACTAAGCCATCATGGCCAATAACGATGCATGGTGGATGTTGCCATGCAGCAGTATTGGGACAGGCACACCGTTTTCTCACCTTTGGCCCTGGGAGCATTCCTGAGGCAGTGTCTCTCACATTATGAGGTTGCTTGTGGCTTGCCTAGCACACAGTCACCATCCCCCATCCTTAACCTCTTTTGCTTTCTTGTCTTATAGCTGGGAAAGTCTGTAGTTGCCAAAGTCCGGATCCCTGAAGGCACGACTCTTACTCTGGACATGCTTGCAGTCAAGGTGGCAGAGCCCAAAGGATGCCATCCAGAAGACATCTTTGACCTGGTTGGCAAGAAGGTCAAGGTCAATATTGATGAAGACGAAACCATTCTTGAAGACGCCATTGAAAACCATGGGAAAAAAGTAAAATGCTGAAGGTGGCTCCTGTGGAAGGGATTCTCCCTGCAAAGCGCGGTGGCAATACTCTGAAATCCTAAAATGCTTTTACGTTCAATTTGGAGGAGGGAACCCAAGGAGATTTTTCTTTCTGGTAGGCAAATGGGCTAAGGCAGCGACTCTGGCTTTCTGAAGAAGGGGCTTTCATGGGAATAGGGCAGAGTAGAGTACTTCTAGAAGGTTCTTCAGGTTTTTATTGCTGGAAATTTTAAGGCACGACACAATTAACCTTTCAGAGTGAGTATTTTTGAGAAGATAATGGGGGCTTTCGGAAAAGGGTAAGTGCTGTGAGGGCCTCCCAGTGGAGCGTTATGAGTTCCTGATGGTGCCGTTCAGTTTGACTCCACTAACGTTGGGAATTCATGACAAGAGCGAGAGGCTGCTGTGTTAGCAAGGAACAGGTCAGGAGTGAGCTTCCATACCCTCATCGTCCTCTTTTGTCATCTTTATTACATTTTGGTGAGACGGGAAAGAGTAAAATGCATATGAGCTGTACCTCAAGCTATGAAGTGACCAGTTACCTGGTCACCTGTGGTGAATATGTAGTACCTCAGAGCCTGAACTTGAGACCTTGCTTTCAAAAAAGTGATTGAAATTATAGTTCTAAGACCTTGAAAAGTAGTTAGTTGCTTTAAATAGTTGCAGTTTTTTTTAGAAGGAACACTTCACTCCCATTTTGCTAGGAAGGAACTACGTCTAGTTACTTTTGAAGTACATTGAAGTGTTAAAAGCTGCTGACCTGCTGTACCAAATGCTTTCTCTACCTGTCCGTCCTATCATTTCTTCAGAAGCCACAACAAAAAATGAAACAGCAGCATGAGCTCGCATTCAAACCATGTGATTTTCTTCTGTCGTAATAGTGAGGCCATATGTCAGGAACTATGAAAAAACCCTGAAAAGTCACTGTTACCCCCCTCTCCTCAGAAGAGAGAAATTATTCCTTGTCAAGTTGCAATCAAAATGTAATGTAGTTATATTTAGTTGGGGAAAGGAATTAATTCTAGGCAATTGGTTACATCCCAACTGTGTTCTAACTACCTCCTATTTTTGCTGGCCAACATTTGAGATACAATTATAAAATGAAGGCGGTGTGAAATTTTGATCTGTACAAAGAGTAATGATAGCAAAGGAAGTGAATTTTGTAGGAGAAGGGTCTGTAGGAAACACCACAAGTGAAAGCAAGTATCTGGTACTTGATAGGAGAGCCTTTGTAGTAGACACTGCCTTTCTTTCTACCTTAAGAGCTAGAAATCTGACTTTTAAGGCATCAGACAAGTTGCTGGCTCCAGCTAGAGCAGACCTACTAAATCAGTAAGATTTACATATGTTTACTTATCATTCAGCATAACGGGCAGTAGTTCTACGCTGGCTGTCACTAGAAATTGGATGTAGACTGAAGTCAACCAACATCATTTATTTAGAAGGCAATCGTGCTATATTGAGCTTACAAATCTGACTTTTAAGGCATCAGACAAGTTGCTGGCTCCAGCTAGAGCAGACCTACTAAATCAGTAAGATTTACATATGTTTACTTATCATTCAGCATAACGGGCAGTAGTTCTACGCTGGCTGTCACTAGAAATTGGATGTAGACTGAAGTCAACCAACATCATTTATTTAGAAGGCAATCGTGCTATATTGAGCTTACGACTGGGTAGCTGGCTGTCACTAGAAATTGGATGTAGACCGAAGTCAACTAACATAACATCATTTATTTAGAAGGCAATCCTGCTATATTGAGCTTATGACTGGGTAAATATGCTTAAGGCTGGCATGTAGAAAGTCCAATTTCAGCCTATCTTTTTTTAATCCATACAATTTGCTATGCAGCAAATCATGACCAACCAGATTTCCTGTAATGTACTGAGAAATGTTTCTGTACTTTTCATGGTGCCTAGGTACTTCTGCCCCAGCCTTGATGAGTTTGAGTGATTAATGCATTTACCTGTGCTTGAAACAGGGGTCAAGAGCTTGATTTCACTTGCGAGCCACTTCGGCACAGCGCTGTCACACAAATGGGGGTGCCAGAATCGTGCTCATTCAGCTCTCTCCTTCCTGGACCTCTACAGAGTCTGTATACTGTGTTGTGTTTGCCTAAGCTTCTACCTGCGCTGCACATACAATGCACTCATCCTGCGGTCCAGGAAGAGGTTTGGGTGGAGCCTTTGAGCCTTGGTCCCGGTGCCGGTAGTTTGCTTTGCAAATGTCCTCTCCCCGTGGTTCGAGTGTCGCAGGAGCTGAGAGACAGTTCGCCCGCATAGTCCTGATCCTTCTGTTGTGTGTTTTGGTAACTGACTTTGCAGGACTCCTTGAATCACAAATGTGCCATGCTGTTAATTGCTTGCCTTAAGAAAATTTCAGAAGAACGCTTAATGGATTTTTTAAAAAAATAATAATAATTGAAAACACAATAAAAGTCTTGTCACAGTAACTTTTTCTTCTCCCTGTTCGTTTTAATGGGGATTGCTTCTGCTTCCAGCTTTTCTTGAATTTGCAAGAGAGTGGAATAGACAGGCCTGACAAGGCGCCCTCTTGTCACCCCTTCGATTGGTGAAAAAGTATGCTGGTGTAGGAACTTGCCATTGTTGCCCGAACGAACACTGATGACAAGGCTCTCGTACTAAACAGGGCTGGCCCAGGACTGGCTCAGAAAGATGTCTACTTGGGATACAGCAACGAGAACCATTCCCTTAATGGCAGTGGCTCCCATCCTTGGGTAACCCAGGTGTTCTTGGATTGCAATTCCCAGAAGCCTTCACCACCAGTTTTGGGAACCACTGCCTTCTGGCTTGGTGCCTTGGCTAACCCAGGTGTTCTTGGATTGCAATTTTCAGAAGCCTTCACCACCAGCTTAGGGAACCACTGCCTTTTGGCTTGGCGGTCTCCCTTCATTTAGTTAAAGATGCAGGGCAGTGGGGTGAAGAAACAGCTGCCTTGCTCTAGAGACAGCAGAGAAGTACTAACAGGAATCTAAGGGTTGTATTTTGAGAGACTAGAACCCCTTCTATTCATTAGTAAGATTAAAACAGCATGGCCAGGGTGCCACATATAAAAGGAAGAAGGGAGAACAAGGGGGGGAGGACCATGGCCCCTTTAGCTTGCTCCCTTTCTCCCCTACGTGTTCCTCAAACCATTTCAGACTCTTTACCTGCTTTGTTTTCCTGGGGAGGGACAGGCATTTCCCATGCTTTTTGTTTAGAAGTAGTTTAAGTGGCTCTTTCTGTCCAGGTTTTGCAGTTGCTCCTGTGCCTCTCTCAGCTCATTGCGGATACACACACAAAAAAGAGGCTGAATTGTTCTGAATCAATTGAAAGAGATTTTATTGCTTACGAAGCAAACATTTTTTTCCAACACACACAGGGCAACTCGATCATGTTTGCCATTTATCTGTTATCGAGTTCCATTACAATCAGGTTTGGGACTCACAGAATCAGCATCGGCTAAACGTGCCCGCAGAGGGTCATCAAAGTTTTCTCCCTCTGTTTAGTACAAACAAGAAAAGAGATTAAGCAAGTGATACCAAAACATTTCAGCTTTTCTGGGCATCAAGTGCTGTTTCATTAATAATCACGTGCCACTGAGTCGGTTCTGACTTAGGGTGACCCTTTGCAGGGTATTCAAGCAGAGAACATACAGAAGTAGCTTCTCATTCCCTCCTTCTGAGGGTGCCCTGGGACTGTGCTGCTTGCCCAAGACCACACAGACTGGCTTTGCTGATAGGAGCCACGGTGGAGAATTCAACTCCCAACCTCTGGTTCCACAGCCTGTTTCTCTCTAGAATAACCCTATCAGAGAGGTGGTCACTTGCACTGTAAAAGGGGGAGTGGGGGAGGAAGAGGTACAAACAGAGGAGAGACCTATGCCCTGAAGCCATGGCAAGGTTGTGGGGAGCTGAGCTGCTCCTGCTTCCTATCTTACAGGCCCATATCCAGAACCAGGAACCTGTGGTGTTCCTTTGCAGCTGTAAGGAAACCTAGACGCTTTGGCCACATAATAAAAACATGTCAGCAGTAAAATTGCTTGGATTCTACATGTTATTTTTCAAAAATATATCTGCAGGTGTACTGTGCTAAAAATGATCATTTTGCTCTAATTCTGCAAAAACAAAAAAGCCACCTGACAATACTGTAAATTAGCCATCTAGCAAAGGAGGTCACATTAGGACTGCTATCATCATGAAAAATGATACAGGCACTGTAAGCATAAACAGCTGCATAGATTTTAATGCTGAACACAGGAAGGTCTGCATGACTTTATGGGGGTCAATGTTAGGGTTATACGCGTGTCCCAGCCCCAACGCCCTTTCAGCCCTACGTGCGTTCATGCTGAATACCCAGTTAGGACCTACAGCCATTTTTACCATGATATTCCTTGAGATCTTACCTGGCTTAGTGCAGAGAAGGATGGGAATTCTCCACTTGCAGCTATTATTTTTGGAGAACTCATTGTCTATAGCTAGAACCAGATCAAAGACTACATGTACGTTTTTTAAAAAATTGCACTAGCTCTTATTTTGCGTGACATTTTTGCTTCTAATTGTTACAGAGAAAAGGGGGGAAGGCACTTTATACAACAATCGGCACCCCATCTCTTGATCCCAGAAATATCACAATCTTGGGAATTTCATCTGACATAATATGAATGTGTCAGCAATGGCTATGAATGCTACAAACTTAATTGTTTAGAAAAATAAATAGGAAAGTTATGTTCCCCATAACAAAAATTTGTGCTTGTGTAAAACGGCAGCAAAGACAGTCACATACAAGTGTCTTCCTGCATGATGAGTTGCCATTGAGGAAGTGATTAAGTACTACAACTCATCATCTCAAAAGTGATCATCATTTTTCTTGTCCAAATCTGAAGTGCCTCTTGGAATATCTGCGCAGCTTCAGCACCTTGATGACAATCAGAAGTCTGTTCTATCTTCTTGTGCAATCAGCCCTTATGTTATCCTATATATAGTTATTGTCCCTTCCCATAACCTCAGTGCTGGGTAAATTGGCTCAATGAAACTGGAGTGAAATGTGTGCAGGTGTGCCATCCCATCTGTGACGTTATAGAATGATAAGATCCCGGCTTCATAATCCAGGAAAACCCCTATGCGCTCGGGGTCTTCCTCTGTCTTAATCAGGATTCTCTCTCCGTTGTGAAAGGCCCAGTATTCAAACTCAAACCTTTTGATACACCACGACGCCTGGTTACATCCCAGCCGGCACAGCTCAGAGTCTCCTTTTCTCTTGAGAGAAGGGTAAGCAGCCCCGATCCACCATCCTTGTCCAGCCTGGAGCAAATCCACCTCCCAGTAATGGCTCCCAGCAAAGAAAGAATCTCGGCTCAAGACTTGCCAAAGCTTGTTGAATCTCTGTGGGTTGCAGGGGTAGAGCCTTCTCCTCCAGCAGCAACTTGCTGAAAGTTGATCCTCAGACAAGGTCAACCTAGGGTGCAAACTATCGATGTCCAGGGTGGGGGATCTTGCATCTGTAGGCAAACATTTGTAAACAAGGCATCACACGCAAAGCATTTCTGAAGCCCCACCAAGTAGCAGCAGCAGCCGGGAGCTCAGGGAGAAATGAGACACAGGACTTCTGACAAAAAAACACCATACCCCAATATCTACTTCTCCACTTTCACCTACAGGGAAACTCTTTAAGTGGGATGTCACATCATCATGACACTGGGCTTTTTCTCCATCTATACCAGCAGCAGGCAGTGATCTGGAAGGAGGATGAGAAAGCTCATAGTGTGATGATGTCATTTCTAAAGACATTCACCATGAGGGGACAAAAGCAGGCAGATGAAGTCACATGGTGTCACATCCTCCTCTGTGCCATCTCAGGAGGCAGCAGGCTAGTGACAAAGCCCCCTGCAGTTTCACCTTTAGCAAGGTGTGTGCCTGGGAGAAAATAAGACGATGAATTGGTGTGAAAGAATCTGGGATCTAAATTCAGCTTTAGTGCTGGGAAAAAAATATATGGGCTGAAGTATATGTGCTAAGCAGTACCTGATCTTCCTGAAATTCTGTGGTCCACCTTCTAGAGTGAGGGCAGATGGTCTCAGTGAGACCAAGGTCCACTTTCCAGATTTGCCAACAGCTGGAGGACCACCCATCCCATGAGGTGTTGTGTGTGTGTGTGCGTGTGTGTGTGTGTGTGTGTGTGTGTGTGCGTGTGTAAGAAGTAGAACCAAAACAGCTAATTTACACATTTTAACTTTTTCCCCCTCAAAGCAGTGTGCGTATTGCAAAGACTGCTACAATAGGCATGTGTTAACTATAAAATAGGTTCGCTTTAAAAAATGTCCCTTTTTAAAACAGAAAAAAGTCCCCTTGCACTCTCTAGTGCGTAATATGTTAAAAAGAATTACAATATTTTGGAGGGCTATGGTGCGCCCGAGAGGTGCTGGTAGACCTTCCAAACACCCCAAAATTATCCCCTTCCCTGCAGAAAGTACAAGGGGTCTGCCTAAGCAATATGTTGTCCCAAATTTTAAATATTTTTCTTAAAGAGTGTAGTGGGGCTGGGGGGCTCAGAACCACAAATACAACTCTGGAGTGACTCTTCTGCAGCTGGCTGTGGTTTATCACATATTTTAGTGATAAAGTAGACTACGTGAATATTCGTTCTGGTCCATCCTTGTTCTAAAACATCAGATGCTGAGCCTTCAAAATTCTGGAACTTTTAACCATGTTTGAAAACTTAGAGAAAGGATAAAGCCATGTTGCATAGGGCATACATACACTTCAAGAAGAGTGACCGATCTCCATAGGAATTCACTTTCAACAAGGTACCTGGCTCCTTCTTCAAGGTGCTGTCAAGGCTACTGAAAATGTCTTGGCAAAAACAAAACAAAGAAGCTGCTTAGCCACTATTCTTTCTGCAAATGGAATTTTTAAAAGAAGAAAAAAAATTGTTGTTGTTGTTTTATACTTCTCTTATGTCCCGAAACCACAGCAGACCAAGTCTGAATTTTCTGTGGTGTGTTTTTTTTAACCCTCTTATATGCAAATTGCAGACATAATACAGAGAAAAATCCCTCCTCATTAGAGGCAGTGTTGGCAAGATTATTAGGAAGGCCCAGCCGCTGACAAGTTGTTTGACAGTTTTAAAAAAAAAGCCTTGGAAGTTGATAGGTTTGTTCTCTTTGGAGGTTTTAAACAGAGGTTGGAGGGTCACCTGGAAGGGATGATGCAAGAGCAAATTTCATGTTTGGGCAAGGAGCTGCGCTACATGGCCTTGGGAGGAATCTCCCTGGGATGCTCCCTATGATTCATACCTGCAATCTGAACTTGCTCTCATTCACTAGGAAGCAAGATCAGCAGATAGACTCACTAAGGTGACTTCATATGAGACCAAAGAATACAAACTCGGTCCTTCCCCATTTATCACCTTCCTTGAGCCGAGCTTTCAGTGGCTTCTGCAGGATGGACTGAATCATCTCCGCGAAGCGCTTGAAGTGGTTTATGATGTATTCAAATGACATGGGCACAGGAACCAATTTTTCTGCAGGGATCTTCTGCTGCATCATTTCCTTCTCTATTGCACCGTAGCCCTGGAGAGTGAGGAACAGATCTTTAGAGTTCTTGATGGTTAATGACTGCCATTTCCAAGCACCCAAGTGGGAGCACCCAAGTTAAAGCTACCTCATAGGAGTGGTTTACCCATGCACTTGTCCCATCATGTTTTTTGTTACACTAAGAGGTCTGCTTCAGACTCAAACTCAGAGGAGAGTCACCACCCCATTGATGGCAAGACCACAAAGCTCTATGTGACCAAATTACAGAAATTCATCCCCCGAATTTTTTTCCTGGTTGGGTTGAGAGGCAATGTGTGATGCTGGGCCAAGAGAATGTGAAGAGTTACTGTAGACCCACTGGTCCATTTAGCTTAGCCTGGTCTACTCAACAACAAATGACAGCAGCTCTCTAGGGTTCAGATGTGGATCTTTCTTGTCCTACCTGGAGGAACTAGAGACTGAAGCCTGGAAGTATTCTGGAAGTCCCAGCCCACAAATCCATACTTGCAAAGGCCTTCATTTCACACGTGTGGAGAAAGGCTGAGGGAAGGTCTTTACTAGGCCTTATTTCCTGCCTGAGTGCTTCCTAGGAGGACGCTGCTGCCACGCTTCCAGGATGGTGGTGGTCTATGGAAATTGCCCTCTATAGAGCACAAAGATCAAGGAGGCTCCCATGCTCATTGGGTTGATAACCTTGATAAATCGCTTCCTGGGACATTCACTCCTCCTGCACTGCTATGAGATAGGAGTTTTAAAAAAGGGCACAGGCCTACCTTGAGCAAATGATGAGGGTCAGGCTGGAGTTGGATTTGTCTGACCTTTTCCGAGAAACTCTGAATGGCACTGATTTCTCCTTCACAGGCTTTGAGTTGCTCTTCAAAGGCCCTCAAGGTCTCTTCAGCCTTCTCATTGACATAGCTGTGGGTCAAGGTTTCCTCCTCCTCAAGCAGGAGCCGGAGCTCTGTGAACTTGCCCGTCATCCAGGCTTTACTTGCCAACGCATGCTCCTGTAGGTACAAAGAAGAAAAGACACCTTAACATCATAGAAGGCCTGTAGAACCAGGCAAATGTTCCACATTGGGCTGGAAAATGCTGTTCTAGCAGTGCATGTGCCCCGTGGTCCCCTCTTTCAGGGAGGGGCCAAAGGCCCTTTTGGGGAGAGAACTGTAGCTACTGGAAGCCTCCCTGAATGGCAATTAATCTTTCAGTAACTTCCCACCACCATCTAATGCCCTCGGCGCTAAGAAGAAATTTGAAGCCATGTGACAGCAAGGGCATTCTGCCAAGATCTGTGCCGCAGATGGCAGGCTCTGGTTACTGAGCTGTTTACCTGCCGCTTTCTTGCCCTTTGGTCCCCAGAAAAAGGAGTGGCACACCTGGGCACTGACTGTTGTTTTCCAGCAACCTACTCTGCCAGAAGCAACAGCCATTTTTAGCAGCACCATTTACAGGGGATGGATTTTAAAACCAGGGTGGGGAGGGGAAGATTGAGTTGCCCCCCAGAAATCCTCCCCAAATGTTTGAACACAAAACCACAGAGCATGTACTAGATGATGGGCAGCCCGCTTTTTACAAAGATGGGGGCGAAACCCACTATTTCAAACAGATTCAACAAAGTTGCTGTTTCCACCTTGGAAGGCTGCTTTAACTCAGTTTCTAACACTGCAACATCTGGTCACGATGATGTGTTCACTTTTCTGTTTTCTACCCCCAACCCCTCAGGCTCTGCAGTGGCCAGCTGAAGATGGGTCAACATCACTATCTTAGAACTGCAGAGCTAGAAGGGACCCTATAGATCATCAAGTCCAGCCCCTGCCAAGAAGGCATAGTGGGGAATTGAACTCTCAATCTCTGACTCTGTAGCCAGACGCCTAAACCATTGAGTTATCTAGCAGTTCCTGGAGGATTTGGATCACACCTAATGGCACATCACATCTCCAACTGACCTCAAACAACCTTATTTAGCCTGCACCAGCCTGCTCCAAAAGGGGCCATGTAGATAAGTCCTAACAGTAGAATTAGCCTAGTAGGCACTATACAGAACACATCACGTCTTGTCAGTTGTTCATTGTTTTGCAACGTATTTGGATATATATATTTTTATAAGGGATGCAGCACATTAGCGATGTCTGACAAAAAACATCTCAATTCCCCTGCCCCTCTGCCAAGGAGCAAAGGAAGTGTTAAATTTGCCAGTACCTTGAAGTGGCTTACTTATTAAACCCACTTCATTATGATATCAAAAATTCAAACCAGAAGGCAGAAGATTCACTTTTGGTCCATTCCCAGTGATCCCATGCTCTGGAAACAAAACAAACCAGAGCAACCTTACACACATCAAAAAAGCAGAAGCCCTGGCAGGGATTCAGAAAGGTGTGGGTAGGAACATTCTGGGAATGATTTGGTTCATTCCTGCACTTATGACATGTGCTCACTTGAAGAAGGAGCGAACCAATCCATCCCCAAAGTGGAATACACAGCGAGCTAAATGCTCATCTGATTGCGCTCTTAGTCCCAGCTAGAAAAGTATTGGACGAGACTTCTTTTTCACAAGTAACTGAATGAGTTCAATGGCCTATATCCCACCACTAGTCCCAGGTAGAATAGGCCCATTAAATCAATTGTTACACAATGACTGAATACCTATGTATTGAGTTAATGGGTCTATTTTACTTGAGACTACCATTCTGGCTAATTGATCTGCATAGTTCGGATTGATGCTGATTTAGCCCACAGAAATCACAGAATTCAATGCATTTATTGAAGGCTGATAAACAAAAGATCTTAATTCATGCTGTCCATAAGATCAAAGGGCGGTTCATTAGTTCAACTGCTGCATTTCATGATTCACTGAAAAAACATGTACAAATCAAGCATCAGCTGAAGTGTTAACACTGGAGATGCTGACCAATGATAGGAGACATCCGTGCTACTATAACTTGTGAAGTCTACAAGACAGATAAACAGTAGTAAGTCCAAGACTGATCTTATCTGCCTCCTGGCTAATTTTACAAGAGGCTCCACATTCAGCTCTGGAAAGATGTATGAATACTGTATCACTATCACATACAAATCCAAGCAGGAAGGCGATGTTAGAAGTTAGAGTACTGTTTTCAAATCTGAATGTCTTGCAATCATTTTCCTTGCAGTTCATACTCCATTCATTCTGGCCAATAACGGTGGCCTCATCTGAGGCCATATAGCACTTTGCCTACCAAAGATAAACTTCTATAGCTCTCCTATGTTTGGTAACCCATCTCCCGAGCACCTGTTTGGTGCTGAGTATATCCAAACCTGTTCAGCACCAGGAGAGAGATCTCGAGTAACCAAACCATACTAAGAAGTTAGATCTAACCTTGAAAATGACCCCCAATCCATTTTTGAAGGCGGTCTCCATCCAAATTTATTTATTTAGGTCACCTACATACAACTGATCTGCCATGAGTGTCTGCTTTAATTGTTTTGGAATGCGCTTTTTGGATGTGGGCTGCCCAACTACAATGATCCCCTTTGTCTTTTACCTTTAATGCAACCATTGCTTCTTCTATGTGCTGTGTGTTGTCCACCTCCTGTTGCATCCTTAATGCTAACTGTTTCAAGAATGTTGCCATCATTTCCTGTTCCAACAAAGAAAAGGACAGTGTTGATCTAGAAGACAAGCAAGATCCAAATTCTATAGTTTCCCAAGACTGGCTACATGGTTTTTAAAAAAGGCCATAGATAGATAGATAGATAGATAGATAGATAGATAGATAGATAGATAGATAGATAGATAGATAGATAGATAGATAGATAGATAGATAGATAGAAAGAAAGAAAGAAAGAAAGAAAGAAAGAAAGAAAGAAAGAAAGAATAAAAAATTAAAAATTAAAAATTATAAATTAAAAAATTCTCAGGTTGTATGATGATCTGCACAACTCTGATATGATCTGAGATTTAAAACACCAAGTCATTTTCTTTTTTGGGGGGGGGGGATTTCTGAAGGAATTCTAGCCAAAAATTTAAACTGCCTCTTTTAGAAGGCTGATCCAAGAGAATGTACAAGCTTTCTACCTCCACAGAACCCTTCCATAGACTACTGCGAGCACATACCAATTTTATATTCTGCTATAGAATCGATTAGAGAGAGGAATTCTGATTGATGCTGGAAGATGTGTTCTGTATTTTCAAAGGAGGGATCTCATTTTGCTTTCCTGCTCCAGCATGTCTTTGTCATAAATTCCCTTATATTACTGTCATAATCTGAGGTTAATATTTATAGCTTTTATTTGCACAGGGCAGAGTTCTGTTGGAACCACTCCTGCGTAGACCTTCCTCCTTTACCACCTTAGGGTGTTGCGAGAACAGAGCAAATAATCCCTTTCCCTGATCCAGCTGTTATCTGTTGGGAGTCCCAGATGGGGACTGCATTGGGAAGCCACTGACCAAGGGAAGAACAGGCAAGGAAGTGGGGTGGAGATGAGTTGGCAGATGTGGCGTTTGCAAGGTGGGCGACTGACTGAAGTTGCCAAATGGCCAGGAAGAAGAGCATGCTCTTGTGTCCTTAAGGGCTACATCCTCACAGGGGAAAAGAAGAGAGAGAGAGATTATATCAGGAAGCATGCACGATTTGGGGGCAAAGACTGTGGATCTCGTGGCACGTCCTCAGATCTACAGGTTGACTGTGGTGGCATCGGCTTTCTTCAAAGTCCAACGCTTCCCAAACCGACGCCATATAGACGATCTGGGGATCTCTCCCGGCGCCAAAGGGCTCCCCCTGCCCTCCCTCTCTACCCCCCCGCCGCCCCCAGCCCCGGGGATGGACAGAGTGGCACGAAGGCGCCCCCCTCCCAGCCTACCCGTTTGCTGTGTGCCGCCGGGGCGACGAGGCTGACCGGGTGGCCCCGGTGGGCTCCCAGCACCGGGCAGAGGGCGCA